TATTATTTGTCTATTTGTTTTCCTGAGAAACTATCTTGTAGATAACAATATGTAAAACAATAACCATTGATAATTTCCTACCACTTTGTCTGTAATTTGGTAAGCCCCCCCATTATTGTTATCTTTCTTTTACTCTTTAAAATAAAAAAAATAAAATAAAATATACTTTGGCAGTACAGGCAAGAAAATTTGATCATGTATTGAGTAAAATAAACAAAATCAGTGAACTCTTAGGTTTGGAATTTAAACAATGGAAGAGATGCTAGGGACATTTCCTGAGGTGAAGACTTGGGAATAGGAACAGGTGGGTAATGTTTATCCTAACATTGTTTGGGGTAGGCAGGAATTGAAGGCAACCCAGGTGCCCATCACAAGGAGAATAGCTATGTCCAATGAGTATGCTGCAGCTAAAAGGATGGATTCATGCACACAGAGCAGCATAGCTAGATCTCCAAAACATAATGGTGTGAAAAAAGTGAAACAGTGAGATATATTTTAATTAAATACGTCATAAATAAAGAACATTACATATTTTGTAACGATATAAGGACACTCAAGGACTCTATCAGATATCAAAAGATATTTCTGTGGAGGGTAGGAAACTAGGAGTGGGCATATAAGAAGAGAAAAGGTAAATAGAACCTGAAAGAGCCATATATGAGCTGATAAAGATGTAGAGTGTGAACTGAGAAGTTTGATTTATCACTGTACCTGATGCCCAAAGAATTATCTGTTAAGGTACGGTAAAATAATTTTAAAATATAAAATGGACAATAGCCTACATCCTTACAGCACTACAAGGATTATGTGATCTTATTTCCACTTTTCCTAATGAGCCCTCAGATATGATACAGCTGTGTCCTCTACAGAGGGTTCTCTCTCTCTCTCTCTCTCTCTCTCTCTCTCTCTCTCTCTCTCTCTCTGGATTTTCTTCATTACAATTCTGTTACTACTCTGTTAGTAACTTCAACGTATGTCTTATTCCATATGGCATTTCCTGGATAAGTTTATTGCATAATATTCAGCAAAGGGATAAGCTGTGGAATTTAAGCACCAATAGAAAATTGTTCATTTCTAGTTTTAACAAACTTTATTTCACTAGACAAGGTAAAAGCATTGAGTCATAACCAACCGTAGCCCCTAATGAATACATCTAAGGAATAAACAAATGCCTAGGCAATGAGCTACAGTTTCCATTGCAGCATCTGTAAGCAAAACAAAGCTGTGAAGGACTACACCCAGTGCTGATAACCAGTGAGAAACTTACACGAGGACTGCACTCCGCACAAAGGAGGGTTGCACACATCCTGCCTGTTGAGATGACAATTCAAAGGCCTACTGCACCCCTTTGCTTTTCTTCAAAACAAAAAAATGAATTTGTGCACCCTATAGCAGCTGAGGCATGACCTAAGTGGAGTCACTGATACTGTATCCTTAACACAGTGGGACTCACTACCGCTCCCATTTATTCGGGTTAACTCTGCCCCAGGACCAGCATTTAGAGATTAGAGAGAATGGGAGCTTGCTTCCACTGCTTCCTGCTGTCAGCATGATATTCAGAGTAAACTGGCCACGGGAGGCTTTTGGAGTCCACAATAACGCTTATATTGGTGACTTAGAATTAGGACAAAGTGGTGTTCTTGTCTTTAGCCCCTCTAAGGTATGGGCTACCTTAATCAATTAGAATTAGGTATTTTTAAATCTTTATTTTTTTATTCATCTATTTATTTAATATTCACTGAATGGAAGCACTACTAAATATTTTTTATTCATCTATTTATTTAATATTCACTGAATGGAAGCACTACCTCGAGTGTTTAGAATACTGTGTTAGAAAATACAGCACACATTCCTTAAAAAAAATGTGAAGGGTGAAGACAAACAGTGGGCAATACAGCGTCACCGAGAAGACAGAATCGGGGTGTGCATCACTACTGCTTCTTATATCTTTAAACAGCATCTTCTCTAATGGTGCCAAACTCCACTAGGGGGAATAATAAACCTTTTGGGCCGGGGCTATAGCTCAGCAGCACAAGCACCTGCCTGGCAAGTGCAAGGTCCTGAGTTCAATTTCCAGTACCAAAATTAATAATAGTAATAATAATAAAATGTTCTCCTTTTTAAGCTTCAACCACATAAACTGCTTCTCTAAAATTTCCCCTATGAAAATTCCTTGTCAGATTGACTATCATGAAAGAAATATGCAAAGAACACACTGATGGCATAAAAAAGAGACATTCACACGTTGGCTTATTCAACCACATCTATGTATATTTAGAGAAACCAGACTCGGTCAAGTGTAATCTTTCGGTAAGTGTGAAGAGCCAAGAAGCAGAAAGTACCGGCCTGTCCTCACCTACTTTTCACAAGTATATTCTCACAGCATTATTGTTTAGAATGAAACTTCATCTACCAAGGGCTACTGTTGGATAAATGTATAAGAGTAGGAACAATGAACTTGTTGATCCGTTAGCACACATAAAATCTCCCTGCATGCACTGTACATATACATGTTATACATAATAGTACACTAGCATAGTATGTGTTTACATATTTCTTCAGATTGGCTCAGAATATAACACAAAAAGACATACTATTAAATTTTTATTTGTCTTATTTGGTCTTTATTTTTAATTACTACATAATAATTGTACACATTTATGAGATACAATGTGGCACTTCAATGATGTATAAAATTGTAATGATCAAATAAGGGTGATTAGCACATCCATTGCCTCAAACATAAAAGAGCATTCAAAGTCCTCTCTTCCAGCTATTTTGAAGTCCATAATAAATTATTGTTAACTATAGCCACCCGATTGTGCTACAGAGTGCTAGAAATGACTCCAGAAATCTGTTAACTAGCCTCTTTATTACCCTCTCCCTTTCCCAGCCTCTGGTAACCACTGTTCCATTCTCCACTCGTATGAGATGAGCTTTTTGAGCTTACATCCATGAGTAAAACATACAGGCTTTGTCTTTCTGTGTCTGGATGATTTCTCTTAGCAAAATGTCCTCCAGCTCATCAATGTTACTGCAAATGACAAGATTTCATTCATTTTTATAGCTGAGTAATTTTCCACTGTGCAAACAGACCACACTTTCTTTATGCGTTAATCTGATGAAAGAAAAAGCACGTGTTTGACAGAGATGATAGAAGTAGCGATAAGACAGCCAGCATGAGTTGCTAGAGCGAACACATAAATACAGGCTTTTCTCTATTTCATAAATTTACCTCAATCTGGGCTGTAAACTGTTAGCCTAATGCCCAAATAATCTCAAAGGCAATCCATCAGTGAAGCATCAGTCCCCAGGAAGCAGCACTAATCTTCCATACAGTGCCCCACCTTAGTAGGTTTGGCATTCGCTAAATATATATTCATGACTGGCCCAACATCCCAGTGACCAGTTTCTTCTTTTTAAAGATATATGACAGATCTGAGGCTCAGGACAGAGTGGCCATCCTTCAGAGTCTGACCTTCTTACAGATCCACTGTAAAGGAACTTCACAGCTAGAGCTTTGGAGACCATATGTGCTGATAGCACCACACCTCTGAATCAAGCTGTTAGAAGAAACCCTATAAGAAATCAGAAAAGTCAGTCATTTCTGGCAACACGCACAGGAAAAGAATTGAAAAGCACAAAGGGATAAAAACTGAACAAATCCTCTCTTCTTATTTAGACACCTCAGCTCCCAAAGCAGCAGAAGAATAAAAATTGCTTCTTAGCGTCTCTTGAAAATATCGTCACTTAATTTTTGCCCTTTCCTTCCATGCTCCCCTTTTCCTCTCCTTCCCACCCTTTCATCTCTGGTCCATCTGCTACCTTTCGTCCATTTCCCATGGTCCCTGATGTCTTCTTTCCTTTTTCTTCTTTCTTTCCCCACCTACTCCTCTGAAGCCCTTTACCTTGAAAAGTTTAGAGCTGATCCATCTTCCCACCTCCAACTAGAATTTTTCCTCAAGCCAATCCAGTAAAAGTCCTGATCGATTAAATTTTGCAGTAGGCTCTAAAGGAGAGATTGAAGAGGTGGAAGAAAGGTGAGACAATTGAAAAAAAAAAAAAAAGACTTGCAGTCATGCAATTACTCCTAACACCCTCCCTTACAACCACAGTTGAGGACTACATGTTTTGACCCTTAAAATTCATATGTTAAGCCGTACCCCCCAATGTATGGTATCTGAAGGTGATGCCCTCAGGAGTAATTAGTTTCATGTGAGGTGCTGAGAGTGGCACCTCCATGATGGGACTCCCGCCCTCATAATAGGGAAAGCCCAGAGCGCTCTCTGAGTAAGAGCATAATGAAAAGACAGGCTTTTGCAAGCCGGAAGGGGGCCTTGTTTAAGAACCAAATCTGCTGGCACCTTGAACTTGAACTCTGCAGCCTCCAGAACTATGAGAAACATGACTGTAATTCAGGCCGCTCACTCCGTGGTATTTTATTATAGCAGCCTGAGCTAGATCAAGCACCCAGTCCAAATAACTAATTCCTCCTTTAATTTCTAATTCTACAGATCTATTGATTGCAAAGAAGAGCAGCTTCCTAGAATTGACCTTTCTGTCTGTAATTACCTTCCCTATAATGTGACAGACAAGATAATGTTACATCCTGATCTTCCATATCTCAACTTCCTTCTTATTTAGATGGAACACGTGATAGATATTCAAAAGAAAAAAGACAAGCAGTCATCTTTCTTATCATCAATGTTGAATACAGAAATTATGATTAACCCTGCAGCAATATACTCGTGTGCTCCCCATGAAATTCCCATTTTCCAAGCCCTTGGCTACTTTGTATATAAGAACAAAAAACAAGTTCTCAAGGGAACCAGCTGAAGAGAAAGCTAAACTGACTGCACCACCTGTATGTGTTCCACTACCCAATGGGACAGGGTTAAAAGATGGCTTACTGTATGCAATCTTACAATCAAATGCAGAAGTTTGTACCCTAAGGGAATCACTTCTGTAAGAGAAATAAAATAAAGGGTAAATCCAAGAAGATCAATTTTGCTGTAAGATCTGGTGTTAGTATAATGAATAATTGCAATTTCAATATTTTCTAATGACAGCTTAATAAAGTGAATTTGAATTTAAACAGTTGAGTGATTTACTTAGGAGAAGTCCTTTTTATCCAGAAACAAAAAAAGCAATAAAATTTCAACTCTTTATATGTATTTTGATATCATCAGTTGTCCTGTTACAGAAAACAGACCAAACATGGCACAGAGAAGGTTTAGGAGACAGTTTAGTTACACCAGTGGGCTTGACTGGGATCACTCCCAAAGAGTTAGTCCCCCTTCCACAGGGTTATGGGACTTTTATAGGGAGGGCAAGTGGGAAGGTATAAAGGCAGATTTGGCACATTATGATAGGAGGATTGGGTGACATCATGGGTTGCTAAGGGAGTTTAAACATCTCAAGTTACATTGCAAGGCCATCAGTTAAACAAGTACATGGGTTACACAAAGGAAGAAATGTCCCATTATATTTGGAGTTACGTTGCAAGGCCATCAGCTACACAAAGGCGGTAAAGACAGAGGTTTAACAAAGGAAGGAGTGTTCTATCATTGGGCCTGCCACACATGTCTGCTTGGTCTTAGCAGGCATCCTGGACAGGCTTTTATTTAAAATTTTTATTTTCTCCCTTCAGTCCTATCTTGCTGTCATTTTTATTCTATTCTAAAAAGATGATTGCTGAAGAATTAGAATTCATGGGCTCTGCTGTTAACTATCTCCCTTTACCTAATTGGATCTTTTACCAGCAAGAGAGGCATGAAATCTACAAAGTCAAGAGAAGCCTAGAACATCTTTACACTCACAGAGAAGATGCTACAGGAGGCAAACGAGTCTTTTCTGTGTTTTTCCATCTATTTTCTCCTCACTGCTTTTCAATCTTAAAACTATAAAATCCTTTCCATATATACAACATACTGCATGACCTAGACTTGACCGCCACTTGCTCACTAAGTTCTAGCCCCTTGAACCTTCTTTCCACTGCTTCATTATGTCAAGCATACTCTTGCTTCAGGGTCTTTGCACAGCTTTTCCCTCATTCCTTTCTCCCAGATTTTCACGTGACTGTCATTCAGGCTCATCGCAAATATTTCCTCCCACGTCGGGCTTTTCTTAGTTGGCCAGTCTAAAGCAATACACACACCCACTATCATAGTGGACAGTTACATTTCCTTCAAAGACTACAGCACCATACTTATTTGTGTACTTTTTTGATATCTGTCTCTTCTGACTAAAAATGTAAGCACTATAATGCTTACAATAATCCCAACACCTGAAGTTATGAAACTATGTTCGGTAAATATTCACAGAACAAAAGACTACAGAGTCAGGTATTACGTTGCAGAGACTAATGCATCCTTAAACAGAAATTCTGCAGTGTTTACCCCTGTGGAACACTACATTGTTTATGCTGGGAGCAGGGAGGTAGTCTGGACAAAAAGTGGATAGGAGAAATGAAACCAACTTGCGTTTAAAATTCTTTAAATTGGGATGAGGTGAACATTTTCTCATTTCCCCATCTGATTTTTCAGAAGTCCATTCCTCTGTCTTGTCATTTCAAGATGAGGAATGGCAAATAGTAAAGCATAGAAATAAATAAAGATGTGCTCGGAAATTTCAATTAATGTCTGAAGAGCTGGGATTAGATAATGCCCACTTATAAAGCTCAATCCCTGTGCTCACCAACTGTTTTCAGACCCGTACAGGTCTAAGCCGCACCTCTCTACGTCCTCAGATGGAGTGTGTGCATGTGTTATGGATGTGGGGATGTGTCAGTGAGTGTGCGTGACTGAAGAAAAACAGCGTAAAAGTATAAATAAGGGCATTAACCTAGATTCTCGTCCCCCAAAGAGGGTGTGAAATAGAGCGGTTAGGTACTATGTCACTTTGAGTTTGCAACGTTTGCTTGTATTTCAGAAAGAACAATCATAAAAACTAAAAGTGAGAAACAAGGTAAAAACAGAATCCAAAAAATTAAATCACGTACATTTTTCTTTCCTTTTCCTTTTTTAGTTAATATTCATAACCTTATGCACACACAGTTTTGCATGTAATATTTTTAAATTGAAATTAAAATATTATTGAGGCACAAACATACTCCTTAAACTTCCAAAGTCAACATGGTTTATGAAGAGTAAGTCATTTCAGCACATATCAAGGAAAAAGCAGTACTACATAAAAAGTGCCAAATTAGTCATATCTTTTGATTAGCCAACTCAATTTTGGTGAGTATATAACACAAATGATCCCAAGAAAAAATAATCCATGTGAATAGGCTCATGGCTCATAATAATTATATACAGGTAGAATTTTGCCTAAGAATATGAAAAGATTTAAGCAGTAATAGGATAATACAGGCTATATAAATAATTTCTAAAAGTAAAAACAGTTTGCAAATTTTTAAATTACCTGGAATAATTTGGTGGTAGGAAAGAAAAAAGGAATGAAATAATATTACATGCCAAAAGTAGAACATAAAATACAGGGTGTTCAAAACCTTAGAAAGGCAGGATATGTATATTTTAAAAATTTGTCCCATGTTTTAAGTATCACTAACGTGCATAATTTAAGCAGCTGCTACACCATAGCTTTCTGCAGCAATGTCCCACGCAATAACCCCCTGCTCCTGCTTGTTGGTATCTGCAGTGGTGAACTGAGGTCTCAAATCCGTTGCTCACTTCTGCTACTGACTTCAGTCAGCTCAGGTCCTTGGCAGCAGCTCTATCAGAATGAGACTAGCAGTTGGTACAACAAGGTCCGGACACCCAGACCACTATTATCAGGGGCTTGCTAAAATACAGATTTCACATCTACTGCATAGACCCCAGCGCATTCTGCCACTTAGCAAGGGTAGGCAAAAAGGATAAGTTAAGTCACGGAAAGGGACTGATTTAGAGCTCAGATTCTACCCAGGCTTTCAAATGAATAAGTGTTGCTTCAACAAAAACAAGAATCTAGATGCTTGAATATGTTCTTAACATGGGAAGTTATGAACTATAAGGTCTGTGTGCTCTTTTTAACTGCTTCAGAGTAATTGCCTCTCTGGATTTCCCCAAGGGATAATACAGTTAAATTCCTAATAAACAGATCTGTGATCTGATTCTACTCAAAAAAGAAAACAGCGATATTGAACATAAAAGTCAGCATGAAATTAGCTCTAAAAATCCAACTGGAATTTCTTATTTTCGCTGTGTATGTTCATTCTAATTGAATCTGATTCATTTTTGTACCAGGATGTCAGTTCCTTGAATTGCCTTGAGAAATCCAAGACTAACAGACTTCTCCTCAAAAAAGAGACTACTAGGTAGGCAAGAAGGATCTGAGAAGCCTGTAGGAAGAGGAATCCCACTACCCGCCACCATCCGAGCTCTGCTTGTGTTTAAGCACACACTCTTTCCCACCTCCTCTCTCCCCCTACCTCTTTCCCTCCCTCCTTTTATTCCAAATTTCTGAACATTGTTCCCAGTCTGAGACTTACTGAATTCTAATGAATGAAAGGCAAACATTAAAAAGAAAACATTTAATGAGGCAGCCATGTTAACACAAGTCTATAATCCCAGCTGCCCAGGAGGCTGAGGCAAGAGGTTAACAAGCTAGAACCCAACATGGACAGTTGCACAATTTAGAGACATTCTGTCTCAAAATAGAAAGGGCTTGGGATGTAGTTCACTGTGAAGGTCTTGGGTTAAATCCCCAGCACCAAAAAATGTATGTTGCTGGTGTGTGTGTGTATGTGTGTGTGTGTGTATGTGTGTGTGTTCTGTTTTCTCTTAGTTTTTGGTACCTGGATTGAACCCAGGGCCTTTACACTGAACTACACCTCCAACCCTTTTTTTAAAATTGGAGACAGTGTCTCACGAAGTCACTATATTGCCCAGACTGGGTTCAGTCTACTAATCTTTCAGCCTCATCCTCCCAGAGTCCTAGAATTACAGGTGTGCACCACCATGGCTGCTGAAAACCTATATTTTCTAAATGCTTTTATTTACCATTTCCTGATTGTCTGTAAGCCTCAGGAGATGTGCGTCGCTGGCTGTGCAGAATTCCAAACTGGAATTCCAGTCCTTCTTCTCCACTGAGAAATAATAACAATGGTTACCGTATCTCATCCAGAAGTCTGGGCAGCTAGGACAGCTGGCACACGTGGAGTCACAGGGGCCTAGAACAGAAGAGGAAGACGGTTCACATCTTTGTGGAGTCGACAGCCTTGGACATGAAAAGGTGGTGACACGGGGAAACGGCACGCCCAGGGTCTTCCCTGTTCTACCACCTTTCAGATTAAGATTTGAAGAAACGCATAACAATGCATAACCTCCAACTCCATCAGCACTAGAGCACACTCCACAAAGCAAGGATGTGACTAGGACTGAAGGAGCAGGGGAGAAAATGTAGTACAGTTTGCCTGAGGGCAGTGGGGAGAGAACATTATTCATGCTTAGAAATCTCTGTGCACATTGATACGTGCCAGATAGAATAGCCGTGCACCCGCCTGACACGCTCCCACATGCTGTCTGCACATGCGCAGCACACGTGGCTGCATGGTGCACAGTGCTTCAGGCAGGCAGGTTTATTCCATGTGCCTCACTTCCTAACTCACCATAATGGTGAGAAAAGGAAAGAAAGCAGAAAGGACAAACAACCAGACTAAAAGGTTTATTATCCCAGATGTAATTATCTATAGCACTGGAAATTGGACAACACACTTATATCTCAGAAAAACTGTTTACTTTAGGTATTTATTTACAAAATTCTGACAGATTAGCAGCTGTTAAAGTGAAAAGTGACAGCATCCTCTTCACTCAGGTCTTTTAAATGTAGATGATGCCCAGTCTGTTAAAATGACTGCATCATAGCTCTGTCAAAAGGAAAGGGGGTAAGCTTCAGAGAAAAGCCCGATTCAGATTCCCTGAAACATGCTTACGTAGCCGCCCCATGAGGACAGTTCTCCAATGGGCAGAGGCGAGCCCTTGCACCAAGTGAGCACATGTGTAGATATATAATTGCACAATAGACTGCAAAGTAGTCTCCATTTGGGGCTTTAAAAGTGGGAAGTAGCCCTTTTTCTTTAAAGTTTAGGTAGCTTTCTGTGGCAAGGGACCAGTATATAGACTGGCTATTAAGTTGGTACTTTACAGATTTACGCTTTTCTTCCATACAGTTGTGACACTTCCCATCCTCTGCATCAGAAATCTCTAACATCCCTAAGAGTTTCTTTCTGTCGAACATAGGACTTGAGTATGAGGTGGAGATCCTGGGGCTGAACCCTTTAGAGTCCTAGGAATTAATCCTATACAAGCTGTATCAGCAACCATCCCCCATAACATGAGCTACATGAGGACTACAGATCGTGAAACTAAACTGAGAGCACCCCCGCCCCCCGCTGCCATCACCACTTTTAAGGTTCTAGAAGAACTAAACCTAGGAAAGTTAATTTTAGAAACTGTGAAAGCTCTTAAGTGGCAAAAAAAAAAAAAAAAAAAAAAAAAGGTCAGAATGTTAAATTAATTATGCAGCATCTACTAGGTGGAAGGATAAATGCCATTAATATTCTACTTTAATTATCATGATAAATGTGATGGTAGGAAAAGGTTTATGACACAATTTGAAATTTAAAAGCAATATACAAAACTATAGGTATCTTAAGATCAGAATTATTCTGTCTTGTTTTGAAGAAGCAAAATCATGGAAGTGGTTTTTAAGAGGATTTGATTGCAATTATGTTAAGAAAATAAATATGTTAAATAACCACGTTAAATATGTTAGTCAAAATGAGGAGGCCACATTGAGAAAATAGTTGTGTCCAGGCAATACCTTGCTTTGCTGAGATTATTTTTTCATTTTTCAAACTTTCTGTGATGTGGTATTGTTTGATAATCTAAAAAGGATAAGATAAAAGTGATTTTGGGTTTAAGTCACCACTCACCTTGGCACAGAATCCACTGGGACAGCAGCAAACTTGTAAGAAGTATGTTTAGAGACCCCAGAGCGATTGCCACAAAACAGAAAAGAGACGACCTACAAGAAAACGCTGCAAAAACAGAATCCAAAGTAAAATCCTGAGTCAGAGGAAAGGCCCAAAGAAAAGAGAAGGCAAGAAACGGTAGCTAGGATCTTCGAAGTAGTTTGATCTAGAAAGAACCAAGACGCAGGTCACAACGATTCCTTTCCCAGTTATCAGGACTTATCTAAAGTCCTAGGGACCCACCAACAAGTACCTCGAGGAAAATGTTATATTCATTACGTTAAAGAAAACTTTTTCTGGGGCTGGGGATTTAGCTCAGCGGCACAGCGCCTGCCTGGCAAGCACAAGGTCGTGAGTTCAATTCCCGGTACCAGAAAAAAAAGAAAACTTTTTCCACTTAAAATGTGGCTTATATTTTTTTATACTTTTGTGGTAAGAATGTAAACTGGTATAACTTCTTCAGAATTTGGACAATAACTTGACACTGTTTACCAAAATTGCAAGGCATTTACACTTTAGCCCAGCAATTTCTCTCGGAGACATTTTCCCTACTGATACTCATAGATGTGCAAGATGTCTTACATGTAAAGCTGTTCATTAACAACCAAAGAACAAATTCTTTTTTTGTTGTTGTTTGTTTGTTTGTTTGTTTGTTTTTGTTTTTCTTCCAGTACCAGGAATCAAACTCACGGCGTTGCACTTGCCAGGCAGGCGCTGTGCCGCTGATCTAAATCCCCAGCCCCAGAACAAATTCATTTTGATATAACCATAAAGTAAATATGCCACTTCTAACACAGAAATTTTTTTTTCCTTGTATGGACTGATTTTTAAAATGTATAGTTAAGGTTAAGAAATATTCCTCAGAACAGGGTGTAGCAGAATCTCTGCAAATAAGAATCTGATAGGGTGGTTTATCTCTGAAGAGGGGAAATGGTCAGTTTCTATTCTGACAAAATCTTACTATTGCCCATTAGAAAAATCATTGGTGTCTTTCTCATTTCATAGTCAGAAAAATAAAGATATCTACAATTTAAACACTGGACCAAGTCTCCTCTAAACGTGAACAGAGATAAAAAAAAAAAAAAAAAAAAAAAAAA